ATTTCGACGATCGTTTCCGGGGAAATTTGTGTTTTTCGGCGGATGTCAATTGTAATCTTACGTTTGCCTTCATTTTGGATCATTTTGGACTTTGTCGGACCTTTTTTCGAGTTTTCAACTACGTTTTCGTCATGGCATCGGCCACTCCGATTCCCGCGGATACAGCGGGCAAGGACAGGGACTCTCACGCCGAACTGCAGGGAGCGGTATCGCACCATGGGTCCAAGCACCCCGCGACCACCACGCTCAACAAACCGCAGCATGAACCAAAAGGTTCCGCGGGAGATACGGGGAAAAAGAAAGTGACTTTGAGATCGACCAAAAAGACAAAAGAGAAATCACTGCCCGCTACTATTAGTAGTACAGCGGATTATGATACCCGACTATCGAAGCTGGAAGAAATGTTGTCGCGGGTGGTTGAGGCGCTCCCACAAACCCAAAGTCCAACCCCAACCCCACCGGTTCCACAGGCGGATCGATATGATTATGCAAGCACAAGTCACCATACTGGGTCCCCACCATGCATTTTGCCGGGGATAGACGAAGACATTACATATGTTTATGGTGGAGATGAGTCAGTGCTTGAGGATGAAATGGGGCAGCAGCATGCTGACTCTGAAACAATTATTCCTGCGTTCGCAATGAAATTCGCAGCGCAAACAGACGTGGGTTCACCACTCGATGATGAAGTAGCTAGTTCCACTTCTTACTTGTCAAATACCAAACTTGAGGATAAAGTTCTTGAAGAGACAACTGCTAAGTACTTACCACCGAGTAATTGCCCCATCCTCGATGTACCAAAAGTTAACCCGGTAATTTGGGAAAAGCTGTCGCCGTTCACACGAAGTCGTGACCTGAAACTGACAAGAGTCCAGAAGTTACTCACGAGGGGCTTAACCGCTTATACACGCTCGCTTTCATCTACACACCTCACGGAGACGCAGCAGGACGCCTTAGCGTTACTATCCAATGCCAATTTTGAGATGAACTCACTGCGTAAGGAACTAATTAAACCTGACATGAACCCGGCCTACTCTCACCTGTGCAAGGCACCGGTGACAAAATTCCTCTTTGGGGATGATTTAGGAAAGAGAGTAAAAGACCTGAAAGAAGAACAGAAAGCGACATTAGGTGTTGTGAAATCTGCTGATCAGAGTAAGGTTCGGGCTCGACCCGGCCAGACTACGTATCACCCATACAAGGCAACTGATACTTACCGCTCACAGCAGTACAGATCTGCGGGATGGTCGTCATCCTCAAACAGCCGACCTACTTCAGGGACGCCATATCGGCCTTTTTTAGGCAGGAGAGCGCCTTTCAGGGGGCGCACGCAGGCCCAAGCGCCGAGGCAGCCAGTGGCGTCGCAGGGTCGCTATCGTCCGAACCTGCAGAAAAAGTAGCTGCTAACATACCCCAAGAGGTAAGTAGCCCTTCACAATCATTTATATCAATACCCAAAGTTACTGAAAATTTTAATCAAGCGTCACCAGTTGGAGGTCGAGTGAGACTATTTTTTCGAGAATGGGAGAAGATCACTTCAGACCATGTCATTCTCGAAGCAGTAAAGGGGTACAAGATAGAATTTGACCCAACATTAATCTGCCCTACTAGAACTAATGTTTCTCGGCAGTACAAAAAAAGTGCTTCAGAAATTATAAATATTCAGAAAGAATTAGAAAACCTGAAGAACAAGAATGTGATAGAACACAGCTCTCCGTGTGTCACGGATGGGTTTGTATCAAACATTTTTACAAGGCCCAAGAAAAATGGGGGTGTCAGACTCATTTTAGACCTTTCGGACTTAAATGAATATGTTGTTAAACAGCACTTCAAAATGGACAACATTCATACTGTGGCATGTCTATTGACCCCACACTGTTACATGGCCTCAGTCGACCTCCAAGACGCTTATTATTCAATCTCAATAGAACCTGAATTTCGAAAATACCTGCAATTCACTTGGCAAGGTCATCATTGGCAGTACAAGGCACTACCTAATGGGCTTAGCTCTGCGCCAAGACTTTTCACAAAAATGTTGAAGCCCATATTTGCCTCTCTTCGAGAGGCAGGCCATGTTGTTTTGGGATATCTAGATGACATTATCATTATAGGTGAAACCAAATACCAGGTCGAAGCAGCAATTAGAGCAACCACGCAGGCATTTTCGGAATTGGGGTTTAAGATTCACCTCAAGAAATCTGTGTTGAAACCTGTACAAGAGATCCAATTTTTGGGCTTTATGATCAATACAGTAGATATGATTTTCAAACTCCCAGCAGATAAAGTCCTAAATATCAAGTTGGAATGTGAGACTTTGCTCTCTCAACCTGAACCCACAATTAGGCAAGTTGCTCATGTCGTAGGAAAATTGATTTCCACTTTCCCCGCTGTTCAGTATGGACCACTGTTTTACAGAAACCTTGAAAAGGGAAAAATCATAGCACTTAAAAGAAACAGTGGCCATTTTGACAGGACAATGGTGCTTTCTAATGAGGCAAAAAACGAGCTGCTATGGTGGTTAAACCACATTCAGTATGCATTTTCACCCATCAGTACAGAGAAACCATCTCATGAAATTAGAACTGATGCTAGCGGCAGTGGATGGGGTGCAACAAATATGCAAATTCACACCGGGGGAAGGTGGAATGAGTCTGAACTAGAAAAAGCAAAAGACAATGAAATAAACTTTCTAGAGACTTTGGCAATAGGGTTTGGTTTAAAATCATTCCACAACCAAACAAAGAATGCTCATGTCCTTATTAGGTCTGATAATACAACAGCTGTAGCCTACATAAACAATATGGGGGGCATCAAGTCCCCCCATTGTAACCAACTGGCTGTAGACATTTGGAAGTGGTGCATAAAGAGAACCATATGGATTACCGCAGCATACCTCCCTGGCAAACAAAATACAGAGGCAGACCATAAATCACGTCATTTCAATGACAGAACTGAATGGATGCTCAGCAAGGAAGCATTCGCGAAGATAGTTCAGAAATTTGGGAAGCCCGAGATAGATATTTTTGCCTCACGATTAAATACCCAACTAGAGAGGTACATTTCATGGCTGCCTGACCCAAATGCAGAAGCAGTGGATGCTTTCACATTAGATTGGGAAAAATTTGAGTTCTATGCATTTCCTCCTTTCTGTCTCGTGGCAAGATGTATCCAAAAAATAAAGGCTGACAAGGCTACAGGCATTCTGATTGTACCTAAGTGGCCAACCCAGGCATGGTTCCCATGTCTCAGTAGCATCCTTGTTGGTGAACCATTCTTACTTAAAAGGAACGTCAACCTCCTCACGCAACCCACCTCCCAAACCCCACACCCTCTTCATGACCGTCTTGATCTTTTATGTTGCAGGGTATCCGGGGACCCTTCGAGAATATAGGACTCGAGGAAAGGGTCGTTGACGTCCTCACAGCATCTTGGAGGGATTCTACTAAGAAGCAGTATCGAGTTTATTGGACCAAGTGGAAACGATTTTGTGAAAGGAAGAAGACAAATCATCTTCGTACATCAGTTAGTTATGTTTTAAGTTTCCTATCAGAACTTTTTCACAGTGAAAAAGCTAGTTACAGTACATTAAATGCAGCAAGAAGTGCATTATCGTCGTATATATCTCTTGAACATAGTGCTCATCCCGTTGGATCACACCCACTGGTCTGTAGATTTTTAAAAGGAACATTTAATCTCAGACCTCCGACGCCACGTTACAAGGATACATGGAATGTGAGCGTTGCACTTGGCCTTTTACGCAGATGGTCACCAGCTAGAGATCTGAGTTTGAAACGTTTAACCCACAAACTGTGTTTGTTGTTAGCTTTGATCTCTGCACAGAGATCTCAAACATTGCATCTGTTAAGTCTAGATAACATGAAACTGAAACAAAGTTCAGTGATCTTTGAGGTTGGTGACTTGTTAAAGCAAAGCCGTCCAGGTCAGCACGGTTTCACGCTCAACTTTAAGGCGTATACTCCAGATAGGAGACTCTGCGTTGTCCACTACCTCCGGACATACATCAGGAGAACAGAGGAAGTTCGAGGACAAGAACGGAAACTATTCATCAGCCATAGCAAACCTCATGGGAAAGTTTCATCCCAAACAATATCACGGTGGATTAAAGAGGCCCTAACTATAGCTGGAGTGGACACCAGAAAATACAAGGCACACTCCACGAGATCAGCTGCAGTGTCGGCAGCTAGCAGGGCCGATGTACCAGTCAAATGTATTCTAAACCAAGCTGGCTGGTCGAGCGAAAAAACTTTCCAGCAGTTTTATAATAGACCGCTCACAGATGACCGAGAACAATTCTCACATGCTGTACTTCAGCAATAAACTACGCGTTAGCTGAAAATATTCTGTCAGAGTGTCAAGAATTGAACCCAAAATTTGACAGGTTGGTTGTACAGACGTTGCCAAAAATTTGTTATACCGTACTGGTTAAGTACAGTTGATTTGTTATGATAACAAAAATTGTTGTGTTACTACAGATCCACATTCACATTACAGTCGGGACTCTGACTGCTGTATGTGAACTAACTACAAAATGTGTTTCGCTGAGCTACGAAATCTCAATTAGTCTCTTCACGAGACTCACGAAGTAAAATTGAAAGCTCAAACGATAACTTACCTGTTTGAAGTTTGAGTGTAATTTTATGAGGGAGTAGAGGGAAGAGATTAATTGCCCCCCTCTCCCTCCCTTTAAATAGAGTGTATTCTCTAGTTCACGTTCATTGTAAATGTAAATTCAAACAAGTTATCTGACCTTTCAGGATCAGCGAACACATTTTGTGGCTACAAAGAATGATTGCACATGGTTGAAGCGGGCTCTCAATTAATCTCTTCCCTCTACTCCCTCATAAAATTACACTCAAACTTCAAACAGGTAAGTTATCGTTTGAGCTTTCAAATAACTTTAAAGTTTAAAACTTCCAACAATCAGCTGTTCAACTAACACGAACGCAACATATTTACACAAGCTTAGTAGCAGTTTTTGTCTACTTGTTAATGATCTTCACAGTACACTGATGAAAGTGATACTGCACAACCTTTTTCTGGTCAAAATCAAGTTTGTTTGACACAAAGTTCATGGTTTGACTTTGAGGCGAAGACTGTGAATTTGGTCCTGTGAGTGTGACTTGTTGGGGGTTCTGGACTTCGAGCTCACCGCTAGTCTCTGACTCTGGTCCAACTCCTAGTCCTAGTCCTACTCCTACGAGTTGACGTTGAGGCTGAGGCTGAGCTGAAACGTCAGGCGTATGAGATAGAACAGGGCTCAATGGTGGCCTACTTATTGTACATGGTGGTCCTGTTGGTGTCGAACTAGGTCCAGGACTAAATCTAGAACTAGGTCCTGGACTAGCAACCCTTACTTTAGCTCCAGAATCTGTGACTTGGTGGCATTTCTCTGACAAGCACAAGCTCATTTGCCTTTTGTGTCCCTCTGCAACTCGCGAGTAATGTTTAAGACTGTTCTCACTTTTATGTCCAGAAACGCTCATGATATGCCTTGCTTCAAAACTGTGCTCATCTAATGTAGTGATAGTTGTAGCTCGAAGGCAGTGGTTCGTGTAGATTCTAGACGTGTTAGCTGCAATGCTAATGGTCTTCAATTTGGATCCCAAAGTGTTTTTGCCAACAACCTGATGATCATACCACGGCACACTTTGTTGTTGTGACCCGTCTCCAGCATTGACGACATCTTCAGGAGCTATTGATTTTGGCCGTTGCCAAAAAAAGGGAAAGCCAGGGTTCAAATGTGAAATGTAATCGCAAAACGACTTCACAGGGCAATTTACATCCTTTGTCTCATACATGCGACCACACTGGCTCCTTGTGTCATCGTTATTGTCTCCTCTGTGATTTTTAGTCAACTTGTCCTTTGCAAGATAAACGTACCTCCTGTCACTGGAATCTGTAGCAATGTCAAAATCATCTACCTTTAGATCTTTAACATTTTCTCTGCCTCTGTTACACAGATGTAACATTAAGTTTATGAATACAGCGTTCTGGAGACCTTTAGGAGTAGAACGGTCCAACGCTGGAGAAGACAAAATTTTGCCAAAGTCTTCCTTGCTTATAGGTTCCTTGTGTGTTATTGCACCCTTTCCCTCAGCTTTCAGCTTATGAAGGACTGCAGCAAACATGTCATTCGCACGCCTAAATGCACCACTATTTACGATGTCCATTGACTTTGTTTTTAGAAAGTGTTTCTGGAGGCCATAGCGTATTGTGATCATGGATCTCTTGGCGTAAAGTTCGCCATTTCCTCGCCGCACCTCTGCGTAGAATGCTCGAAGACAATCGCATAACTCTTGCTCGGAGTATTCCTTCTCCACTTTTTCGAAGTCAAGAGACTTTGCCCTACAGTAGCAGTTGAATGTTTCCAACGCTTGTTTTAACACATTTTTTGTAGATTTAGAATCCTTATCGTCCAAAAGCTGTTCTAGTTCCTCTTCGGTCATTAACACAAATCGGGGCTCCATTTCGAAGTGTTGTTGAGGTATTCTACTGAGACGCTCGCGACTTGTAAGATGTAGGCTAGATCTAGAACTTAAAATTCGCGGGTCGAATTTATATCCAATCGAGACTTTATATCGTTGATCGATCACAAACGATTGTCTGCTTTAGTCCCATCTAAATCATATCCGTGTCATTGGTGACATACAGTCCTCAAGAGGGCGACATACACTGATTAAAAATATATTCATTTCACCGGCCGGTAAAATATAACACTGAAAAGTGACCGGCCAGGAAAATATAACAATTTGGATCCTCGCAATTGATATCACGTGACGAGCTCTGGACCAATCACATCTCGGTATCTGTCTAAGCTATCTAATATATTATATTGTTCCTTCTCATGCTTATTTCCTTTCTAACGCGCATTTCTTTTTCCTTTCTCTTTCCTTATCTTCTTCTCAACCCCACATGCAGCTGATCTTTCAGTATTATTTTCTGTACCCTCGATTTCTCACTTCTTTTTGTCATTGTCTACTCTTTGTATTATGACCGTGTTCTTCTATCTTTGTAGTGTAAAGTATTGTCTTGTCCCTTTCTCGTCTCTGTTGGCATTCCCCTTTTATTTCCCCTATTTTATAGTTCCTTTTGTAGTTATATATTAGATAATTTAATTACTCATTAGTCCTAAGTTTCATTTGAGGTGTTCACACTTGTACAAGCATTGCTTTTTAGTGGACCCCTCTGTTTCCAACATGTATTTCTTAAATTTGTTTTAAATGCTTATAATTGATTTGTAATGTTTTGTTGGAAACATGAATAAATTTGGATTTGAATTTGAATAAATTGAAATAAAAATGAAATTGTATGTGTATATTTAAAAAAAATGATTTCCGTCTTTTGTCTGTTTACATTTAGAAATTTAATCATGAAGAACACATTTTTAAATATATTTTGTTGTATATAAAGTTATTCACATAGTATACAGTAGCATAAGCAACCTCATATAAGCTTTGTGTACTCTTTACATTTAAATTAATGGCAACTGCATGCAAAAAAGTTCCTTCAATTATTCGGTAAGCTCTGCAATTTAAAAACAGAAATGTGAAGTGTACGACAGTAAATGTCATTAAAACAAAACATGAAGTTTATTGTGGAATATCTGAACGTACGTTTACACAGAATAAATTAAACGACCTAAAAAAGAGCGCCATAGAAAAACAGAAAATGGCGCAAGGCTGTAAGCGTATTATCCTGCAACACACAGAACTATGTTAAGGACTTTGTTGTGCAGAACTACTTGTTTCACCTCCAAAACTGTACTTTCTTAATTTCTTATATTGCTACATTTTCTAAAATAAATTGTATTTGGAAATAAAGTATATGATCATAAAACTACCTGTATAAAGCTGTGATGCAATATTGATCAAGAGGCTATATTTTACTCAATATGCTTTAAGCATTAAACTATATTATTAAATAATATAATATAGTCTGTTTAGAGCTATCAACTCGTTTTTTTGTATCATAACTTGTTTACTTTTACTTTTTGTCACAAATCAACCGACTTGTTGATGTATTGCTGTACTTACCAGAGATGGCGCTATACAACATTTGTTAAGAGAATGACGGCGAATGTTACTGATTTCTTATAGCTGGTGCTAGTCCGCTTCTTGTAACGAACAGGACAGAGCTCCTAATTCAAGACCTGTCTATGTATAAGCTAAGTTCAGTTATTTTCTTATGCGTTGCGTGTTAATGAAGGTAGGTTTGTAAAAACGCGTCGGAACGCGTCATATAACGCACATAAACCTAGGTTTGTCGGCAAACCTCTATTGTAAATTCGGGCCAATGTTTTTGTTGTAAGAGCCTATGCTTTTTAATAAATCTAAGCCTTATTCGTTCTCTTTAGGCTTCGTCTTATTTATTCTAAATTACTATTATTATTTTGTTTCAGCTCACGAGAATCCGACTTTCTTTAGTGAATCATTTCCCTTCCTCATCGTCTTTTTCTAACCTCTCTTATTTCTTTCTCTCTTTCTCTTTCCCCTCTCTCTCTCTCTCTCTCTCTCTCTCATTCTCTCTCTGTTTCCCCTCTCTATTCTCTCTTTCTATATATCTTTCTCGTTCTCTTTCCCATCTCTCTCTCTCTCTCTCTTTCTCTCTCTCTCTTTCTCTCTCTTTCTCTTTCCTCTCTTTCTTCTTCCCCTCTCTCTTCTTTCTCTCATTCTCTACTATGGTCACTCTCTCTTCTGACTTTTCTGACCTCTCTTGTTTCCTTTTCTCTTTCTCTTTCCCCTCTCTCTCTCATTCTCTTTCTCTCTCTCTCTCTGTTTCCCCTCTCTATTCTCTCTTTCTATATATCTTTCTCTTTCTCTTTCCCATCTCTCTTTCTCTCCCCTCCTCTCTCTCTCTCTCTCTCTTTCTTTCTCTTTCTCTTTCCCCTCTTTCTTCTTCCCCTCTATAACTCTTTCTTTCCCCTCTCTCTTCTTTCTCTTATTCTCTTCTATGGTCACTCTCTCTTCTTTCACTATATTCTTGTCCCCCTTTATTTCTATCTTCTTTCTTTCTCCCTTTTTTCATCTCTCATTATAAATTTTTGTTTACATTTATTTCTCTTTCAATCTCTTTCTCTTTGATTCTTGGTTTATTTAATTCTACATTTCTCTCTCTCTCTCTCCCTCTCTGTATGTATATATATCTCTCTCTCCTCTTTCTTTTAAATTATTCTGTTATTTCCTTCTTTATCGCATAGTTTGTGATTTCTTTATGAATATCGAAAAATACACAAATATGGTCACAATGAATATCTGAATCACAATTAGCGTCCTGTCTACCAGTATAATTTTATTACAGAAAACAGAGTTATATCATGCAGGGTTAATACACAAAACGATATCACAACATAGTATCATAATAATGAAATACAGTGGAAGAGTTATTACAATTTAGACTTCATAACATAAACAAATAATGAACAAGTTCGGAAAGAGATTTTTCTTTTCTTCCACCGACTCCTTTCAGTAATATCGTGATCAAAGGTTAAACGATTGCATGCATTGGGTGATTCAGTGCAATATTTCCCATACCACATATATAGGACATTTATTTTTTCACCCAGAATGAGAAACACCTCGATATTTAACGATTATATCATTTATATTCTTGATTTTGGGATGATATATACAAAATAAAAACATTGCATTCTGGGCTAATAACACAGATTCGCCATAAAGAGTACCGAAGTACTAACGTCATATTCGCTCGTTGTCCCGGGTACTGGTTCCAAAGAAGAGAGCCTGCACATGAGGTTTACTGCGAAAGTATTCAAGCAACGGGCTGGAGTAGGGAAAATTCTGTGTTTGCCACTGGTAATTATCACCACGCCATTGTTTAGTACAAAATTGTTTGGGTCCATCAACCTTGACAACTTGGCCAGTATGACGTCACACATCGGTACTCTATGTTTGTGAAAATATTGAATCGTCAAACTTCAAACCCAATCTTCCCCAAGTCTACGATCTGATTAGAAAACCGTTATATAAAGGCATCACCTTCAAGGTGATGCCTGGGAACAGGGGAAGATAATTAAACAAATAATGATAATAATTTGGTCTTATTTTTAGTCACATGCTCTTCCTGCTTGCCTTGCAATTATTATTACCTCAGTATGATCAGGTGTCCATTTACTACACCTGGGTAGAGAGTGTCAAATGTGGATTAATGTCTTGCAAGGAAGGACGTTAGTGCCGAGCTAGGATTCGAACCCTCTTCCCTTGGACTGAGCTACGAGAGTCTAGCGAAGGAACCACAGTACCACATGATCTCCACGTAAAGAGGTACACGGTCATTACCGGGCAGGTACGCAGAATATACAAAGATAATCTTATGTTACACAATTTAAAAGAAATCAACACATTTGATTGTTACTGAGTGCAGATTTGCCTGAGAACACTTTAGTGTATTAATTAATAATCCTTTGATATATCACAATTTACAAAGCAGTGGAACACTATTGATTTTTGATTGCATTTGTTTTACTTAAAGGTACTATGTCCCATTTGCAGGCCAAAAAAATGAAAAAGTTAAATTCCAACTGCATTTGAAAGATAATACTAATTCAGAACTTCCCTAAAAAAGGTGGGGCTTTGTCTTGATTTTCAGACAATTGTACCGAATGGTCATACGTTTTATGCTGCGCAAAGAGTCAATCAGTTTAATCTTGGCCATCACAAGAAGTGGTTGTTGATGTAGACAAATGCTCATGTACCCTTTACAACTCTTTTCATGTATGTTATTACCAAAGAAGAAAAAAAGCCAGTCAGTCACTCAATAGTGTCTGACAGTGAAGTCTAGCAAGAAAACGGGTTTCCTTGCATAATTTGAATATGAGGACACTGCTAACGTTTAAATTTCACAGATAGGACATACATGGCATATTCATAATTCCTGCAAGGTTCTACAGCATTTGAGGTTGGCTGCAAAAGGGACATAGTACCTTTAAGATAGAATAGATTAACATGATATCTGATGAGGAAAAAAAATAACCAATCTTAGGAATACTAGAACAATGCAGCTAAATGTATTTACATTTTATGACAGTGCATATTGTCTGGTAGTTTGGATAAAAAAGCTGACACAAAATTATTTTGAAACTTATTTCAATATCATACCTTTTAATCTATAAAATATCAAATAGATTGACACGATATTTGCTAAGCAAAACAAAATATGAGCGAATCTTATAATGACTATAACAGTGCATATTGCATGGTATCTTGGATAACAAAGCTGACACAAAATTAAATTGAAACTTATTTGAATCTTAATTTTGTTTTTCATATCAAAGAAAGAATAGATTAAGATGATATCTGATGAGAAACAAATATGAACGAATCTAAGAAATATTAGTATACGATGCAGCTATCTAAATTTTATGACAGTTGTTGTTGTTGTGTTTTGAGTTATTGGCGATTAGTCAGTGATTAGACTATTGTCGCCAAATTACTTTACGGCACGTGTTATA